AAAAAAAAAAAAAAATAGAGCAAAATACTTATGCGTCCTTGGGGGAAATACACACCATGCACTAAAATTTTCCTCAACACCTTTTTAATTATTTCAAGAACGAAAACGTACATGTTATGTATTTTTGAGATTGTTTGGTAGGCCATTATTTGTTGCATTTCTTTCGCCTGATTATTCTGAATGTAGGAATTCGCCAAAACGAAGGAAAAAAAAGTAAAAGAAGAAAAATAAATAAAAAAACAAAAAGAAAAATACAAATACACGTACATTAACGCGTATTGTGTATACGCGGTTATAACAATGTGAAATGCTGTGTTAATTTTCCAGCCTCCATACTGCAAAATAACAAGGCAAAAAAAAAAAAAAATAAAAAAAAATGTCGTGTGATGCCTTAAGACTACTTTAAGAAAATAAAATGTTAATATGCACAGAAGAATAGATCCACGATTTTACATCAGTCAGAAGTAAATATTAACTCGTCCTTTTTTCTGTTTTCTTTTTTTGCAACACCCAGGTGGTATGATATGCTTCAGTTTACAACTCTGGATACAAGTACATACGCACATGCGTAAGCATATATAATGTGCGCAAGGTGGTGGTGCTTACTCAAACAGCATTTTAAATGAAGTTAAAAGCTTAATACAACTTTAAAAAAAAAAAAAAATTTATTTAAAATATAAGCTCCGTAACAGCGAAGATTCGTATAACATGAATCTGGAAAGTAGCCACAAAAATCTAGTGCACACGCAAAACACAGAAAACGGAAACAATTCTTATAAAGTTATGAATCAACATGTACTGAAAGATGATTGCACAAATGAGACAAAAAAAAATGAAATATGGAATCAGCAAGTGGGGTATGTCAACAAGAATGAGAAGAGTTGCAACATCAACTATACAGACACACATTTTGAGGAAGGCGAAGGGGATAAAAATGTAGAAGAGAAAAAGATACCCTTAGATTTACACGAGGGTCACAAATTGGCATCTCAAAGTAAAAAAGGAATACCATTTTGCATGGAGACTCAGGATGACACCAGTTGTTCTAGCTACTGCGAAGGGTACCCGCACGAAAAGTACAAGGAGGATAAGGACGCACTGGAGGGTGCAGAGGCATGCGAAAAGGGGAGGTGTACTGATTATAGTATAGCGGATGCGGGTGCTAGTTATGGCTGGAGTGAAAGACTGAAAGCGGGGCAGGATAACTTCATAGGAGAAGAGACCGAAGTGGTGACCGAGAAACAAACCAAGAAAAAGACCGCGAAACGAGAGGTGGAACGAAACGAGGTTGCCCCCCCAACTGGGTTGGAAAAGCATGACCATGACACAAATGAATGTGGAGGGGAATCCAAAGCGGATGTGCCCAAACAGGGTACGAAAAAATGCACCTCCAGAGAAACCCTAAAGAAGGGGAAAGAAACGAACACGTCCTCGATTAAGAATGACAAAATGTTAATGAAGCAAAAATGCAGCAAAATTAAGGAAAGCGAGAAAAAAACAAATGACGATATTTTAGAACTGAAGGATGAAAATAATAGTTCGAAGGGAATTCAGACAGGTGCTGAGGGGAAGCCATGTAATGACAAGGGTTCCGGTGTATCAAATGGAAAGGTGATCGAAGAAATACTTAAAGGTGAAAGAAAGGAACACCAAATGGAGAGCTCATCATATGATAAAAGAAATGATAAAAAGAGCAAGAGGAAATATTCTGATGAAAATGTTAATGGTAAAGATGACATAGGTTTGCACGAGAAGGGGAACACGAGGAAGAAAAAAAAGAAAGGTAACGATAAAAATGATCATAATCTTGGCCACAAAGTTAGCCATATAATTGGAAAGAATGAAATAGAGGAAAATGAGAAAAAAAAAGAAGCGGGTGTCGAACTCTTTTTCGAAAAGGAGGAGAAAGGAGGCCACAGCGGAGATGCCACTACGGCTGAAAGTGTATCTGAAGCATGCGCATATAAGAAGGGAAAAATGAATGATGACAAGACATATTGCGATTCAACGGGGAACAAGACAGCTACAAACAAAAAAAGCATAAGTAAGGAAAAGAGTAGCAATGATAATGCAGACGCAGTTGAGGGCAAGGATGATAAGCCAAAAATTATTAATCCAAATGAGCATGGACCGCCGAAGAAAAAATATGTAAAACTTTTAAAAAAACTGCAAACAAATTTATCTAGCAAAATGATAGAACAAGAAGGCGAAAAAAGAATTAAAACATGGGGAGAAAAGTTAACACTGCAACAAAAAATAAATCAATTTATAAAGAACAAAATTGCTACAAGGACGGAGTACAAATATGGGAAGAAGCCAAACACACTGTCCATATGTAATCAGTTTAATTTGTACAATCACTTAACCATGCTAAATGATTTTAACAGGTTGCATTATTACAGAGCGGCGATGAGATGGACCGGGCATAAGGACATGTGCGAATGTGAAGGGGACCCTTGGATGGCACTCTGTGGGAAAGGTGAAACGAGTTCTCTTCATGTAAGTAGAACCAGTAACACAACAAATCAGAAGAGCACCACCATGTTGTCACAGAAAACTGTTTGCCAGTTTAAGGGGGGAAATGTAAACAACATGGGTAATACGATAAACGCGTATGAGGATGACGTTAAGGAAATGCTGGAGGACCAAAATGGAGAGAAGAATCCATATATTTTTTTTGAAAATAATAAAGAGTGCTATGTTTATAATAAAAAAATAATTGAAATAGGGACGGGACCACTCTCCCTGTTATCCATTAATGCCATTTTAAATGGGGCCAAGCATGTAGACGCACTAGAGGTTAATAAAGACGCGTCCGATATGGCGAAGAAGTTAGTAGAAGGATATAATTTGGAAGATTTTATTAAAATTATAAATTGTTATTCGAAGACGTATGTCTATAAGGAGGAAGGAAATCAGAAAAGAATGAAAAGGAGAAGCTCCTTTTACAACTACTTTGATTCTAACGTGGATGAGCAGCATTGCAGCAATTTTAATTACGACATGATAATAAGCGAAGTGATAGGGGATTTCGCTTCACAAGAGGGGGTGGCAGACATATACCTGGATTTGCACAAGAAAATATTTTCTTACCGAAAGTACCAGGAGTATTTGCACAATTGGCGGAAGGGGGATGGGGTTGATAGCTGGGGCAGTCACAAAAAGGCGGTGCGGAACGACGGGGCGAACGCCCCGAGTGAGGAGGAAGGGCCAAAAAAATACGGAGAATGTGGTAAGAAGGATGAGACGGGCGAGCAATGGGGGGAGGAGAACGTTAAGAAGGTGAAAAAAATAACATATAGCGAATTCGCAGCAGATGATAAATTATACAGGTGTGAAGAATTCTACAACATGAATGTTAAGAGCATACCTTATAGTGTTGCGACATATTACTGCCCCGTGAAATTCCCTTACTATGACAATATAATATATAAGAGTGAGAATTACCCCGAGAGGACAATTATTAGCCCGAAGAGTAAGCTACTACAATCTGTTATGTTGGAGTGGTCTAACTTATCATTAACTGAAGAAGAAAATGAGGACATCGATTTTGGTACGCTAGAATATTTATATTTAGAACAAAATGTAATTAATCAAATGATACAAAAAAGGAATCACATTTTTTGGGTTCAAAAGAGTGGCCCTTTTTGTGGGTTTTTAATAACCATAGATGTCGAAATTCGAAAGGGGGAACATTTTGGAACAAAATATGGAACTTGTGACAGCTGGTACACCAACATAGTTTTATTAAAAGAAGAAATCAACGTTAACAAAAACGATTTGGTGATTAGCAAAACGTACACCAATTTGTTAAATTATAATGAGCATGTTATTGGTAGGAAAAATGTTTCGGTTTCAAGGCCGTCCTACACGTTTTATGGCTACATATTAAAGTCGATGGGGGACAACACGTTTTCTTCGTCCACATCAGATAGTGATGGAGATGTTAATAGTAACTGTTTTGAAAATTCCCATGGTGACGATTACCCTTCCAACGTTAGTAACTGCATCTACCTGGATGACCAGACGATATTGTTGCTAGACCAGATGGATTTTCACGAGGAAATGATAGGCATGATGAGCAGACCGAGTGGCGGGAAGGACGTTATAATGGGTGAAAACAAAACAAAAAACAATGCTGCTAATGTTAAAGGGGAGGAAGAGAAAGCCAATGTAAAGGATAACCATATGGACCAAAACAAATTAAATGGTTTGGATGAACAAGTGGAAGGGAATGTTGAAGGTCATTGGAAAGTTTCCCATGAGTCAGTGGGAACTCACTTCGAGCAGAAGGGAATTGATCTTGTTAAGGGCAGAACGCATGACACATCATCAAGCAGCTCTTCCCGTATCGACACGAAAAGCAAGACGACACATGCAGGAAAGGGCACAGATGGAAACGTAGACAGAAGTACTGTCTCGCCAGATGCAACGAAGACGAACTGGCATAACGGTGCCTCGGTGAACAAAAATGAAAAGGGACAGAGAGCCAATTGGGGGGGAAAATCACCCAAGAAAGGGGCCATTTCTGACAGAGACAAGCACATCAACAAGCACCATAATTCCCGCACAACTAAGGAGAATCAAACAGGCAAAAGTGTTACAGGACAAAATACCAATGTGGAAAAAGTCGACAATAACAATACCGACAGCAGCAGTGGCAGAAATATCAACAGCCACAATAGTCCCCAAGAAGGGGCACAGAAGGTGCCGAAGAAAAGCGCCAAGAATCAGGCAAATAAGAAAAAAGGAATAGAGAACCTACAAGGAGAAAATAAACACAAAAAATTGTCCGATGCAAGTAGGGATGAATACGAAAAGGACATAGGAGACATTATCAATAATTACAACTTGAATGCGAATTTTTATTATGAAAATTTAAAAGATAAAATCCTGGTTTATAAAAACATTAAGTACAAGTTGATGCATATTTACGAACCGGTAATTATTGACTACGACGAGCAAGCAACGGTTATTTATAAGAAGGATGATATTTATAATAGCAAGGAAAACAACGTGAGTAAGTTTGTGAATAACGTATACCACTGACGAGATTGAGAAGCGAGCATTGTTTGTCGTGAGAATGTGTCATCCTTTGGTTGTTCGTGCTCAGATTTTAACGGTACGTATGTTGACACGGGGCTCGTGCCACTACTAGTAGCATTACCAGTGGTATTATTACTGACGTTGTCCTTATTGTTAATTACAATGCATTCGTTATTTATTCCCAACATATGAGGTGCGTACCGTTACGTAAAAATGGCCACTCCATTTAATGATGTGTATCTGGGGTAGCCATTTTGTAACCTCATGAATGTCACTGTTTTACCTTTTTTCTGGGGGGGCATATTCAACTGCTTTATATTTCTGACTGAAGTATGCCACTATGTTATATATTTTTACGGGTATGTCTCCACCCTTTGGCATTTTCTAAGGGGGAAAATTCCCCTGTTTCGTCCTTTTTCGAGGGCATATGTTCCACAACATTCCTTTTGTTTTAGATGAACCATGGTTCCCTCTAGCTTTACCTTTTTTCCTGTTTTTTTTTTTTAATTTTTCTAATTCTTATTTTGTATGACAATGGGTGCAATATATACACAAAACAAATGTGTGTTGTGTCCAGCCTGCACAATTGGTTGGCCCCCCCGAGTGGGGGGGGAATGCACACGAGTATATGTACATTTATATTTTATATACGTATATAGTATGTGCATATAGACATTTCGATTTTAACTTTGGATGTGTGTGTGTGGTCCATTTCCATTATACCATCCACTTTATGCACTTTTCATTTAAATTTTTGGTTGCTGTCTAATGATTTCCTATGCCTTTTTAATGTGTTCCGTGATAAACACAGCGTTCAGTTGGGTAAATTTCGTGACAAAAAAAAAAAAAAATAATAAAATAATAGTATTAGATATATACACTAAGGTAATGTGCATGCGTAAAAGTAGAGACACTGGCATATGTAGACTACGCCGAAACGGAGTTCCTCCTTTTTGTCTTGTGGGCGCGAAAAATGAATTTTTCACATCATTAGGGTGAGTGCACTGTTTCGTTATTTTTTCTTCCGGGGTGAGTTAAATACATATTCTTGATCCCCTAGCAATTTCTACATGCGCATGTGGGTGTTTATCTCTTTAGGGACATTAGGACGGTAAACATAATAAAAACCATATAGGTTACTGTGTGGTTGTGAAAATTGATAAGGGATTCTGCTTGGGGTGTAGCTGGGTCTACCCCACCCATGGCTAATCTCCACATTTTTGGCGCATCACATCTGACAGGGTAAGCAAAAACAGAAATAGAATACGTGAGTGATACATCTCGGGCAGCTGTGCAGGTATTACTTGTGGGATAAAAACAATCTGAGCGCATAGTGTTTACACATACACACTGTGGGTTCTGTTGCATGGAATGAAGTGGCACAAAATGGCAGCACCGCTCCATACAATATGAACCTTTGCTCGCATATGTATACGCCAGTTTAATTTATATGAACAGAAGGATAGCCATACTGATACAATGTGACATATTTGCGCAGGTTAAAAAAAAACAAAAAAGGTGAAAACGAACTTACCTTGCTACTGGAAAACTTGGGACTAAGGTACTTTTTAGCGATTTAAAACAATTGAATAGGAAATTATTTTTCTTTTGTGCTTGCATGGTGGAAGAACTACTTGTTTTAAAAATCTGCGTGTACTTGTTTGTTTTATATTGATGGAATTGCTGCAGCTGAACAAGGGGAAGAAGAAAAAAACTTTGTGGTCCTCTTAAAAGATAACATTCATTTCAAACGTTTTCTTCTAAAGGTGTGGAAATTAAAAAGAAACCTTTTTGCATATTTCTTCTTGGCATACGATATCTGACATTTTAATGAATAAAAATTTGGAAAAAAAAGAAGAAAAAATAAAACCAGGAAAAGGTAAGCGCTCGCAAAATAATTTAAGTGTACGATAATGCGGTACGGAAATTGTAAGGTGGCCCACACTATTTATAACTCATACATGTTTACTTAGAACATTTTTTTTTTTTTTTTGCTTAATCTGTGATATATTTCTAACTTTTATATAAATGTTATTGCTAATTTTGTTAGCCCCATTTTTTCATGTACACCAGGTGTGTAATAGGGGCACCAAATCTTGAGGAGGGGGGAAGAAATACGTATTAAGGGAAGAATTAATGGAAGAATATAAGTGTAGAAAATCGTTTTGCTCTGTGCATTTGTATTGCTAAATATTGCCAACCTCAGTGAAGTTCTCGATGGGGAACAAATTGATAAAGTGTTAACTGACAGAGTTGCGGAATTGTGTTAAAAGCAAATGCGTCACGGGAAAAATATTAAAAATGATACAAACCTAGACGAATGCACAATTGTTGAAAGGCGGGGGGCAATGTAAGTAAGACGAAGAACAACAACAAAACAAAAAACAAAAAGAAAAAAAAGGCAAATGCCTAATTGTTGAACGAGTTTATGATTTTTTTATATATGTTATCACCCCGTAGTGCAGCTTTTTGCTGTGTGTTATGGGTACATAATATGTAAGAAGCAACTGCGTGTACACACACGTGCATAAGTGCCTCCTACCAACAGGGGGTAATGTTAGCAAAGGAGCCGCTTCAAATACAAGTAAGCACCCTTCCCAACTCGGTGATTAATTTTGTTTTCACTTAGCGGGAAAGAGGGAGAAAAGTAGGTGTAACTTTTGTATACCTTTGAAACGGTTATATTGTAAAGTATGTGAATTTTGTTCAGATGGATTATATGGTCCGTACTGTACGTCTCCTGATCTTCCTTATGTGACAACATGTAGTTTTCTATTATGGACAAGCCACTTAAGGCATAGCACGTATGATAATAATCAACTTTTTCCATCGGCTTGTCCTTCATACCGCCCTTATTATTTTGAGAACACACGAGCAAATAGAGCTTTAAGAAATTCATATTGAACATGACATTTTTTTGCAAGTATTTATTTTTATAATTTTCAAAATTGATTTGTTCTTTGTGTATTTGAGTTGTCATGGTGGGATTGTTATTACTATTCATGTGGTCTGATTTGGACGGCGCATCAACACAGTCGGAGTGATGACTGCCCTTAGCTTTGTTACGCATTTTGTGGTTATCCACTTGGTTGATAGAAGGATGTTCACGTTTTGCCCCATTTGAACTGCTTCCAATTACATGTGTTTTTTCAAAATTGCTTGGGTCATTAAAATTGTGTAAATCTGCGTCATCCACATTTTGGTGTCTCCCAGGAATGTGCTTTTTCTTATTTCCATTTTTCCAACTTTGCAAGAACTGCTTTAATATATATATTTCGTTTATTAGAAAGAAAATGGATCCAATCCAGAATGAGTAGCAAGCGTCCACTAACTTATTAGTTCTTCCCATGAACGCGCCTTCTAAGTTGCCTTGTTTGTTAATTAGCCAATGTACTAATTTATTTATATTAACTTTTTGAACTTTTCCTAAAATGCACAAGGTAGCCAAGGCGCAATAGGTGTAACCTCCGTGACTTTCTTGAAATTTCTCACTTGTAAATCCGCCTTCGTAATTTTGACAAGACAGAATATATTTTTCTACATTTTTTTTTACTTTATTAGTTAATATGTGACACATGGAACATACTGCTATAGCACAGTAGGTGCCTCTCATGTCTATCTCCCCATTTTTGTGTAATCGAAATGAACCATCTTTACATTTTAACTTAAGGATATAGGAGTGTAATTTTTTTTTATCGAGAAAGCTTAAAAAATTATTTTCGTCATCGTGTAGGTATATGAAGACACATACCGCCGCGTACGTAGTTGCTATGTGGGTGTACTGATTTAGTCCACCTCCGAAGGCTCCATTTTCGTTTTTTATTTTATTTAAGTAAACGAAGACGCATTGTTTTATGTAAGCAAAGGTGGTTTTACCTAACTTTTGCTCAATCTCTAAATCGTTATGTAAGATGTAGATAGTGTGAATACACCAATAAAAAATCCACGGCTTCGATGCTTCCAAAAAGCTCAACCTTAAATTTTTTACGAAAAATATATCAGTGCAGAATTTGAAATGTTTGTGCTTTTCTAGATGTACATTTAACACGCTGATAAATTTGTTGAGCAGAACAGAAGACTTGTTTAACTGGAAATGAAAATTTTCAACGATTAATGTATCTTCTTTAATGAAAGCATTTCTTAGTTTAAAGACATCCCCAGGATGGTTGCACGCCGACGGGAGGTTTATATTATTTATTTCTTTTTCTGGCAATAATTCGCTTAAGTAATAGGTACTATTGGCCTCTTCATTTTCCCCGTTTTCACCATGTGCGATGTTATCGTTTGTAACTTTTTGAGCGCTGGTGTCGGTAGTGGGCCATTCTTCATTCAGACATGGATTTCCTTCTACATTGCTTGTGGCTTCTACAGGGGTGTGTGGTTCCTCTCTATTTTGTTCTCTTTTATTCTGTTCCACCGTACTCCGTGTACCCCCCTGTTGCGCCGTTCCCCTCGTGTACGCACTTTTAGTATCATCCGTTTGGTGTCTTTCTCCACAATGGGATGGGTTGTTTGCGCACCAATATTTATATGCTCCCTTACTTGAAGACGCTTCAGCAGGAATAATTTTTCTCTTCTGAATGTACGTGTGTATCATCTCAAAGGTGTAATTTCCCTTGGTAAAGAAGGAACTAATATTATCAATATTGCCAACATGATCGAAAAGAAAAAAAAAAATAATATCTGTAATTTCTACAGTGGGACTATTTAAAAGCATGTCAATGATGTTAGAAGAAAAGGTCTTATAGTAGATGCTTAATATTTGCGTTTCCACCTTTTTTTTTTCCTTTAGCGTTTGTGTATTTTGGTTGCATTTTAAATTAAAGTTGAAAAAATGCTCGGACATATGGGTATTATTTCTTTCGTTACGTGATTCTTTTTGGAGTGATGCGTTCTTGGGTTTGTCCTTTTTTAGGGGTACACTGGTGACACCATTTATATTGTGATCTGTGTTGTGTGAGTTACTAGAAGATGAGCTGTGGATCTGCATGGATTTCATATGAACATTCGCACCCTCTCCTTTGGACTTTATACATTCGGGTTTGTCCTCCTCTTGGCCATTATGAATATGTGGAGTGTCTTTTTCATGCGCATGGGTTTCCTTAAGTGAGAAGAAGTGCGGTAGTTCTTCATCGTCTTCACTAGAATTTGTTAAAATATCGCTTAAATTTTCCGAAGAACTCGAATGATAATACCCATGAGGGATGTCATCTTTGCAGTCTGTAGAGTTTTCTGTATCTAAATTAAATATATAATTAAACAGCAGCTGTATGATGTGTTCTACCTGATTGTAAAATTCATCGTTTTCAAAATCTGGCTGGCAGTCATTTTTTTTTTTTTCATATTTCGTTAACTCCAATAGTAGCACTGCTAGGTGCTTTTTTCTGTTATGCCTTAGCATATAGGTGTCAACAGTATTCATTTTCGGTTTCGCCTCTTTTCTGCTTGCTGCGCTTGTTTGTTCCCTGTTTATTTTTGTTCTCTGTCGCAGCCGCCTTGAGCAGTATTGAATGTGCAATGCATTGTTCTTTAAAAGAAAGTTCAAAATGAATTAAAGAACAGTTGAAAGATAAAAGTTGTGTATGCCTTAAAAGAGTTGGTTAGAATGAAATGTTGCCGTATAGAAAAATGTTTTTTGTGCTTTTTCCATTTTTTTTTTCCCCCTCGTTTTTAATAACCAATTGAAACGCTTCTATTACCATTTTGTGCAGACGTGCAGTATAACAAAATTAAACAAGTTTTTACGAAAAAATTCGCAAGTGCATTGCATATGTTTAATTAACATGGTGCGGGTTATGAGCAAAAGTGGAAAAAAAGTATGAACGAAAAATGGGCAAAATGAGAACACAATGATAAGGTATAGAAAACATGAGGTGCATATTGAGAATTGTTAAAAAGGGCAAACCAGCATTTAAAGAGTGTATAAAAAAAAAAAAAAAAAAATCTTTAATAATTAAAACAATGTGGTTAATTCGTTAAAAAAAAGGGGCACATACACGTGTAATTATTCTTACAATTAAAAAAAAAAAAAATAATAAAAAAGTGCAAGAGATTCAAAATATTAAGCAGTTATTGGATAATTTTTGAGAAAACATTCCGGTGTAAGGAAAAGGATTAATTATTTTTTACTCTATGTTGAATACATATGTGCCTATTATGTTGTTTCATTCCATTCCATTCTTCCTTCTGCCAATTTGTGAAACCATGTCGTAGTGATAGGTCCGTTCTATCTTAAAAAAGTGTAACACGACAGCTATTTCAGGTCTTCTTGTTTAAAGAAAGTTGGCCAGCATAAAAAAGGTTCCCTTTGCAATGAACTTGGAAACTTTTGCATTTTCACAAATCTGTAAAAAGGTACGTACACATATAGTGTACATAAGAAGGTGTAATATATTAAACTGGGGTTACGAGGAAAAAAGAAAGGGTACACAAACAATGTGCCACCATGGATACATTACGTGAACATGCGGTAAATTCATTCCCTTTTGCGTTCGTACGTCTATGTAGTATTTAATGATATCGTTATTATTCGTGCAGAGGATTGCATTTTGCTCTATGGCCAACTCGACAAACAAATCTGTATCTACGGTGTGGGAACAGGCACAAAAGAGGAATATGAGGAAAATGCAAAGGTAAAAGGTGGTGTATAGGAATGTACGTACAAAGTAAAACTCATAGCAGAAGCAAATAATTTCTTATAACAAAAGGATATGCAGCATTGCGAGGGACGTGACACCTTTTCTTTTGTACTCAATCAGCGCAGTTACCCTTTTCATCCATGGTTAGCACAGAAGAATCTTTGTTTTTATTTCCAATTTTAAGGAACCCGTCTTTTTCTAATTCCTGTAGAAAAAAAAAAAAAAATGGAGGCAAGGAGGATAATTTGAACACGGTGCATATTCCTTTAAAGGGTTACCCAACATTTGAAAGGGTAAAATGGATGAGGGCATGTTACATGTAGGTATAATACATATGTAAGGTAAGCGCTACCTTAAAAACGAATAAGTGGAAATCTCCTGATTCGAGGATATTATTTTCGCAAAAAGGTATGTCATGGTACCACCAGTGGGGAATATATATCTGAGTAGTGGAGAGTTAGAAATGTGCATTTTGTTAGAAGAATGATGACGTGTGTATTTGATGTCTGCTGCACGTTGTGCTTGCGCTGGAACGTGTGCGCGTTGACATGTGGAGTGCAAACATGACTAAGTTAGGTTAATAACTCTCTCCACGCTTGTACATTTTCATATATGCATCTACAAACGCATGAATGTATGCATGTGCAGGCACGTAAAGATATGTGCCTCTTTTTATCTTTTTATTTATTATTTTATTAATTAATATTTTATTTTTTTTTTTTTTAATACAATTGGTCGCATTTGGCTCTTCAGTAGGGACGTAACGGCGTATATCAACCGGAAGATGGACAACTTCGTTTTGTATTTCACCAAGTAGGAGTACGCGTCATTTACTAAAACGTCAAAGTTAAAATTTTCTCCGTCAATATATCCATCCATTCCGGAACATATATTTAGCGCATCAAGAACAACACACTGTTTTAATTCATTTGATTTGTTTAAGTAGTTCTTCCATGTGAGCATCTTGTGATATTTGTTTTTTTCTATTATGTCTTTATTGAGCGTGCTGTTATTAGTTCCCCTTGAGACCTGCTCATTTGGATGATCATTTTGTTGCTGTATTTTGCTGTTGTGATGTTTTTTTTCTGTAATTTTTCCATGCTGGTTTGCCTGGTTATATATAGGATTATTGTAGCTTGCCGTCGCTTTACTATTTTTGTAAAAATAAATAATTTCATACGAATACCTTAGAAGGATTATATCATACCCTCTCATTATCCCACACTCATTATAATCTAATTTTTGGTCATTTTTATTCGGGGAGTGTTCTGTTATGTCATTTTGTTTGCTAATAAAATTGGTAGTTTCTTTTTCCTCTGTTGTATGGACTAAAAACAATATAGAAAAAAATTGTGGCTCAAAAATGTCGTTAATATAAATCATACTTTTTATGTTTTGATTTTTTAAATAGTTTAGAATTTTCAGTTCGTTTTTATTTATTTTACTGTTTGTGTTTATGTCTTCTTTGTGCATAACTATTTGTTCTATGTGTTTAAATGCATTGTGGTTAAAACTGGAGGTGAATTTTTTTTTCCTATTCCTGCCATTTACCATTTGCACTGTAAGAGTTGACTGTACCAGAAGTATGATACGCTTGTTATTTATGCCACTACAGTTTGAGGGGGTAACCATGTTGTTAAGAATGTAGTAGGAGTAGTTCAATATTTGGGTTACAAAGTTGTCCAATTTTAACACCATATTTTCGAAGTAATAGAACCATGTGTAATGGCGTACTTTTTTTTTCATGTCTTCCTTAAATATTAACTCTTCGAAGATGTAATACATGTTTTGATCATCATTTGTACCCCCGCGCAAGTCGGGTTTGGGGGTACCCTTGTGCGATGCACACTTGTCCTGGTTTGTGTATTCATCACCATTTTTATTTACTTTTGCGTTTTCGTATTTAATAATGTTGGTTACATTTCCGCCGTTTTTTTCTACACCCTTTTTAGCGTTTTCGCTTCCATTTTCATTGATAGAACTATTTTTTTCCTCATGGCCTTTTTTTTTTTTTTTCCGATTTTCACTTTTCTTTTTCTTTATATCATCATACATCACAGAGGGTTATATTTTGAGTGCGTGTTTTAGGGGAAGCAGTTTTTTTTTTGTTTTCCTTTAAGCCTCTGCGTGTTAAACCTATTTGCTTAGTTCTATGCGGCCGGTATATTTTTTTTTTTTTGTAGTTTGTGTTACACAATTAGGGAAAAACAAGGAGTAGCTTTAGGGAAATTTACTTTTAAGTGGCACTTTTTACACGCGCGAGAAGTTTGAAATGTTGCGTTGTTCCTCTCACTGCATGAAAATGTGCGACAGTGGGGTAACGCGGCCCTGAAACAGGCACATGAGATTCAGTTGAAAAAAAGGAGAAAGAGGGGGCATTGCAGGCGCGTGTGTAATTCTTCTACACGTGCATATACATATATATTTATGTAAATACATGTATGTATATTTTGGTGGATGCGTAAAAGTGGCAGAATTTGAGAAAATACAGCAACTGACTGTACCTCCTGTTTTTTTGGGGGGGAAGGGAAATTTTTATTTTGCGGCTGCGCGAGAGGAGGTGTAAATTAAATTATCGTGAATGTATACATGTACACCACCTACAGTACGCACATTCATCCTTCGGAATCGAATTTCATTATCGTCCTGGTGCCCGTTTACGTTTTTTAAATTTAATGTTTGAGGCATAAAATTTGAAAGGTACGTTTTTGTGTATAGTTGTGACCGTGACTCTCGTAGCACTGCTTTAACAATAAACCTCATTTTTTGCACCTTCAAAAAAAAAAAAAAAAGAATAGAGTATGTATTTGTTACGTACACATATCAGTGCTTGCATTTTGTGGGATTATATTGGCATTGCAATTTTTGCTCGCATTTACATATAATTTTACATCTCTGCGTTCTGCCCTTTGTGTAATTTTAAAAGCCATTTCATAAGAGGATCACCGTCCGAAAAAAAAAAAAAAAAAAAGCGACATTTTGATATTTTCAGCAGGGAAAATCACGTTAACAGTACCTTTGCGAAGGGATTTTATTTTTTGTTTACGAGAATATTCTTTTTTATTCTGTTCGGAGGAACATTTTGAAGTATTTAATGTTTCAACGAGGCAGTAACTAAATCGAGAAACAACAACGCACGTATTTCCGGTTCATTACAGAATGTAATCGAAAAAATATGCAGCCATGGAACAAGGAAGAATTTTTGTATACATAAACAATTCCATTTAGCATAGTAAAAATAGCGCTACATTTATTCCCTTTATAGAGGAATATATAACCCACTTTTTAAGATTACCAATAATTTCACCAAAGGGGGCAATAAATAAGAAGCAGGCTGATTCTATACCGTTTGAGCACATTTAGAATGCGCCAAGTTGCCCTGGGAACTATATAAAATAAATGATCTTTATGTAAAATGCAGTTAAAATAAAATATAGGGTGAGAAAGGAAATATTAGCAAAAAAAAAAAAAAACAGATATTGGCAAAAAATAACGTATAAGCCAAGACAAACCAGATTGAGTAAGGTGTAAAACGCGAAAATTTCACATACCTGATCGCTCAAGTAAATAAAAATGTTGAACAGAGCACGGAGGATTTTTTTCAGCACAGCAAAGACCAGCAACCTCTACCTAACCATATCTTCGTCTAGCGAATCAATATTCAGAAATCAAGTAATTAAAAGGGCTTCCTTTCCAGGTGCTCAATATAAGACGCAAAAATTTTAGAAAAGACGAATCAGGAGTAAACAGTCCTAGTGGTCTTTTATTTATGTTATTATTTTTATTTTTATTTGACTTTTTTTTTTTTTTTTTTTTTTTTTTGCAGGAATTGAAGGTTATTTCACCATAACAAATAACCACAGCCCCCTAGTTACGTTATTAAGAAATGGAATAATTACTATCGAATTTGACGAGAAGGAAAAGAAGCAGTTTTTTATATCAGATGGCATATTTATATATAAAAAAAGTAATGACAACAGCAACAGCAACAATGCTGAAATTGTGGGGGTTGAAATTGTGCCCCTAGAATATTTAGACAAAAATAAAACAGTTAAGGTTTTGCAGCAGATGTGCGCAGTAAATGATGCTACCGATGACAAATGGAGAAAAATGAAGACCATGCTGGGGTAATGCAGGAGCGCTGTCGCGTGGGGTTGTGCGCACACATTAATATGTAACACCCGTTATTTGTGTAAAACGTAACTATCACTGTAAATATAAGTACAACATTTTATTCTTCCTTTTTTTTTTTTTTTAGGAAGGAGCTGTGCTCTTCAATCCTTCGAGTCGCATCGTGAAAGCAAAAAAAGCAGGTGCCTTTTTGCATGCATGTTAGCAAGCTCATAAATGTGGTAGTGCTGTGCATGCGCATTTAGTGTTAGGGTTTTTCCACGAATACTGCAGATAGACCGTTGTAAGTGCAAATGCCATTTTTTTAAATAGATGTAACACAAAGTAATAGCCTAGTTGCTCACGCTTCTTGTGTGTATATGCACATGTTCAAGAATACATGTTGCACACATTTATGTATCCAGCCGTTACGAAATTTTTACAAATTGGCGTCACAATGTGGAATAAAAAATGTAAGAACAAAATGATGCCGTTTTTGTTCTTCTTTTTTTTTTTTTTTTTTTTTTTATAATCAAATTTACTTTTTTTTGCGTTTATTATATGAACAGTTAGTGAGCTGTTTTTAACAACAATCAGAACTTTAGAACTAAGACGCGTGTGGCGGAACATGCGTAAAGGTTGAGACAGATAAAAAAAAAAAAAATTTGCATGTACTCCTACAAGAAAGGTTATTATCTTCATTTTGAGGATCATTAAAGCTTCTTATAGAAAGAAATAAACTCAAAATAAGGGCAGTTCATGTAGCTGTTTAGCACGAAACAATTAGCTTAAAGGTGTATTTTAATTGTGTTGGAGGTTTATTTTGTTTTGTACAAAATTTGAAGCAACTTTAAGAAGCGGCTCGCAAATGTACGATCTGTATATGTGTCTACATCTTAATGGTTAACTTTTTATTTCACTATTTTGCCATTTTACTATTTTATTTTTTTCTTCTATCCTTAAAAATCGTTTTCAACTTTTAATCCACTTCAAACTTGACTTTTTTCTGTACTGATGATTCACGCGCATGTGTGTTGCTCGCTTGTCCGCGTACCTAATTTTTTAAAGGAAAATTAAGATGCTTCAGCTTGCCATGTAGAACAGTATGTTACTATTTTTTGCATGATAAACGTGTACCCCCATTTGTATATATATACAATACACACGTAAATGTGCTTACATATTTGTATAGACATGTAAGTGAATTTTTCTTGGTTCCAAATTTTACGTTGTAAAGAAATTCTCCTGAGAATTGAGAATTTTCCTGAATTTTTTTTAGCGAATTTTTTTATTTGTGTTCCCTTCGCTACTAGTGTACAGCTAGCTATTTTTATTTTACTTTTTTTTTTTTTCTGAATGGATCTGTTTATCAAATTTTTGAATGTGTTTATTTGATCTGTCTTTAAGAAGAAACCAAAACAAGGTTATGTTAATTTGTGTGGAGATTCTTCACGCCTTTTTAATTCTTCTTACTGATTGTAATTGGTGCTCATTTGCCATCAAATATATTTGTCCAGGTTCTCTAATGCGAGATTATAGTATGATTCTTTTTTCTGTATAGTACAAGTACGTACATATATATATTTTTGTACACCCCCTAAAGAGTGGCTAAGATGACGCTGTACGTTTTTTTAGCCCTTGTGGCATTCTCTTGCATTTGTAAGGCGAAGCGTATAGAGAATCCTCAGAAGGAGTTTATGGACAGATTTGACATAACCAAGAATCACATAAACATAACATGGTCTACAAATGGTGTGCTAGGAACAGGGGACTATAAATATGATATAGGTAAGCAGAAAAAAATGTAGAAGGCTGATTCTGTGCTCATGAACACTATGTGCATTACCAATAGTTGTACCCCGAGTGACCTTAGAATATATGCCCTTACATATTTCTATAAAACAGTGTGAAGTTCTTTGCGTATTCCCAGCGCATTGTTGATTTCGATTATGTTTGTGGAAAATAACATTTTTTCCTGCCTCCTTGTAGATGATGAAGAAAATGCCAACTCTAAGCTTAGCACACAGAATATGGCAGGAACCTGCCCAAACCATGAAGTCCACGGAATGTACAAGGGTAGCTGTCCGGATTATGGGAAAACATTCGTAATGGATTTAAATGGAGATGAGTATAATGAAGATTTTTTAAACGAAATTAGTTTCGGTTTGTTAAACAAGAAATTGAATCTTTCAATAGAAATTCCAGTAGAGAAAAGTGGGATGGCCATGTACCAAGGTCTTTTTAACCGTTGTCCTTTGGACGAAAATCATAATTTGCTGATAAGGAAGGAACAAGTATATGATATGTGTTTTAGACGAATTTACAGACATACGCAATTCGCTGGAAGAAATAAAAAACGTACGTTGAGGAATGAATATTTACACTTTGGATGGCACGGATTAGGAGGTCGATTTGGCTCCAATATAAATTACCCTGTACATGATTATAATCCTTCGGAAAGTCATGTGACCAGAAAAATGAGTTTCCCAGGTTTAATAAAAGATTTGTCGGACTGTTCTATTTATTCCCATTGTATGGGTCCATGTTTTCACAAAGATTTTGATAACGAATGTTTTCGCAGTTTACCTGTCGTTTTTAACCACAGAACAAAGGAGTGCGTTATTCTAGGTACACATGAGGAAAATAGAAGAAGAAATTGCTTGTCTGAAAATTCATATGGTTTTGAAAGATGTTTTGTGCCAATAAAAAAGGAAACCGGGAAAGAATGGACCTACGCATCGTCATTTTTGCGTCCAGATTATGAGACAAAATGCCCTCCAAGATTTCCATTAAATGATACAGTATTTGGGTACTACAATGATAAAAGTGGTGAATGCAAATCTGCTGTAAGGAATGACAATGAGAGTTATAAATCAACTTTGAAAAGTTGTATTGAAGGACTGTTCAATCATCCTGAGAGAGATAGCGAAACTCGCAGAGACAATTTCCTATGGGGGGTTTGGGTTTTGGAGGATAGTTCCAAAAAATTAAATTCCATGAATGACATTGGAATGTGTTCTATTTTGAACAAGAAACCAAATTGTGTCTTGAAAAAGGAAAACCACTATTCCTTTACGAACCTGACAGCGAATTCTTTTGATTTGGAGCAAAATGTAACGTATCCAGAGGTGGAGGAGATGCAAGAACAGGATGATGAACTGAGTAAATTTGGAAAAACCGCATCGGAAGGAATAGTAAAAAAAACAGATTTGAGCGAAATGGATAAGAGGACGAAAAAAGCGCAAAACGAAGATAATGAAGCAGATCACATTTTGGAAAAGAACAGGAAAACAAAAATAAATGCACACACAGGATTAAGCATGATAAATCTTAACTATAAGTTTTCCGTGCAAAAGAGTCACGAATCAGCACATTCAAATAAGGAGGATTCTATTTTTAGAAGTAAGGGTGAACCTATAAGTCAAATGCTTGAACTGAATCAGTCTTCGAGAAGTTATTTGCATAATCCAGGTATTCGTGGTAGGGGAAGACACCACATTATGTATGTGAACTCTCGGACAGTAGGTAACGCATCAGCTTCTCAGAATGGAGCAAACATCAATTCCGTATTGTCTAAAAATCCTCAAGCTAGATTTATGGAAAGATTCGATATTCCCAAAAATCACATTTTTATCAATTGGAAAAAGGAAGGAAATTTGGGGGAGGGTAATTTCAAGTATGATGTTTTATTGAATAAAACTGCTGGTACGGCTCAGTCATTATTAATTGATAATTATAATGACGTGTGTCCAAATCATTCAATTCCAGGAAGAGCTCAAGGAAGTTGCCCTAACTATGGCAAAGCTATCATTGTTGAAACACTTGAAGATAAGAATAAAGATGCTCATTTTAATTTCCAATTTTTAAATGAAATACATACTGGGTATATGGGGAGAATAAGCAGACGTAGTGTCGAACTTCCATACGATAAAAGTGGAATTGCTATGCATCATGGTTTTCCAGCATCGTGTCCAATAAATAGACAAGAGGAAAGGTTGTTTGAAGAAATGGATGATTACAATTATGATATGTGCAAGTCTACCGTGTTTTCATCTCCGTTCTCCATGAAGGAATGGGATCGCAAAAGGCATTCATTTAAATATTATGGCCTTTATGGTTTGGGCGGTCGATTAGGTTCGAATGTTTCAAATTATGGACCAAATGTAAAAAGAGGTGAACAGCGTACAAGTAACATAACCCTACCAATGAAAAACCCAGGGTTAATAAAAAACTTGTTCGATTGCTCTATATACTCGTATTGTTTAGGACCCTGTATTGAAGACACGTACAAAAATAAATGCTTCCGCAATTTACCAGCTTATTATAATCACACAACAAATGAATGTGTCATACTTGGTACACATGAACAGGAAAGAACCAGTAACTGCAGAAAGGAAAAAAATGACTTAAGTAAACCCAACTGCCAAAAGATTAGAAAAACCTCAGATTCGAAGGATTGGACATATGTTACATCATTTATTAGGCCTGATTATGAAGAAAAATGCCCACCTAGATTTCCTCTGAATTCCAAAAGTTTTGGAATCTACGATGAACGAACAGGAAAGTGCAAAAGTCTCGTTGAAAAGAAAAATTTCATTAGTATTCAAAATTTCGACGCCTGTTTAGAATATGTGTTTATCACCTCTCCAAAAGATTTATATAGTAGTATGATGGGCAAATATTGGGGGGTTTGGATTGCAAATGAGCCGGTTAATAAGGATAATATGTTTACGGTTAGTGGGGAATGCTACTATATACTTCGAAGACCAACTTGCGTCATACACAAAGAGAACCATTTTTCATTCACATCTCTCACAACAAATGACATTGATTTTTATCAAAACTTGAACATAGAACCTGTGGAAGAATTAATTGGGCAGAGAGATATAATCGGTTCATCTAAGCAGGGTATCAATAATAGAAGGGCTTACGCTAGGAAGCAGCTAGCGGAAGACAAGGCGCTAAATCCATCAGATATTCATTCCAGTGCTATGAATGACAGGCGTGCAGCAGAGGCGAAGGAAAATGAAGAAAAAATAAGGGCAGAAGAAGCAAGAAGGGTAGAGGAAGCTAAACAGGCCGAAGAGGCTAGGAAAGCGGAACAGGTTAGAAAGGAGGAAGAAGCTAGGAAAGCTGAAGAGGCTAGGAAGGCAGAAGAGGTTAGAAAGGCAGAAGAGGCTAGGAAAGCTGAAGAGGCTAGGAAAGCTGAAGAGGCTAGAAAGGAGGAAGAAGCTAGGAAAGCTGAAGAGGCCAGGAAAGTTGAAGAGGCTAGAAAGGAGGAAGAAGCTAGGAAAGCTGAAGAGGCCAGGAAAGTTGAAGAGGTTAGAAAGGCAGAAGAGGCTAGGAAAGCGGAAGAGGCCAGGAAAGTTGAAGA